CGGAGGATCGCTGGAGCCCAGCAGGTCAAGGCTGCGGTGGCCGGGAGTGGCCACTGCGCTCCAGTCTGGGCGACAGAGTGAGACTCCAACTCAAAAAAAAAAAAAAAAAAAGAAAATATGGTACATATACACAACAGAATATTAAGCAATTATAAAGAAGAACAAACTCATGTCCTTTGCAGCAACATGGATGCTGCTGGAGACCACCATACTAAATGAACTGTCACACAAATAAATACCTGAATACTGCATGTTCTTGCTCATAAGCGGACCCTGATCATTGGTCACATGAGCACAAGGGTGGTCTTGGCAGATTCTAGACATTGCTAGGGGAGAGAAGGAGGGGAGAGAGATTGGGGACATGTGGCAACACACTGGATACCAGGTCCACAATCAGGGAGAGAGAGGACCAGCTAAAAGCCCAAACTTCACTTGCGTGCAAGTAGTAAATCCTCACATGTACCCGACAACTCAACTCAATAAAATAAAATGATAGGTGGATAACTAAATCTATCTCTCTTTCTCTCTATATATAATGGAATATTATTCAGCCTTAAACAAGGAGATCTTGTCATTTGCCACAATGTGGATAGACCTGGAAAACATTATGTTGAGTAAAATACATCAGACACAGAAGAAGAATATTGCATGATCTCACACGTGGAATATTTTTAAAAAGAAAAGTCAAATATGCAGAGATAGAAAATAAAATTGTGATTACCAGGGATAGGAGGCAGAGGTAAGAAATTGAGAGATGAAGGTCAAAGGCTGTAAAGTAGTAGATATGTAGGATGAACAAGCCTAGAGATATCATTTGCAACTTGAGAACTGTAATTAATGAAATGGTATTTAGTTGAGATCTATGTTATATAGTAAGTTTTAGCTGCTTTCATCACAAAAAAACGATGTGAGATGATAGATATATTAATTTGCTTCAGTATAGTAATCGTTTTATATCTTATATGTATTCGTTTTTTTTTTTTTTTGAGTTGGAATCTCACTCTGTCACCCAGGCTGGAGTGCAGTGGCACGCTCACTGCAGCCTCAATCTGCTGAGTTTAGACTATCCTTCCACCTCAGCCTTCCAAGTAACTGGAACTACAGGCATCTGCCACTGCACCTGTCTAATTTTTTGATTTATTGTAGAGATGAGGGCTCACCATGTTGCCCAGGCTGGTCTGGACCCGTGGGCTCAGGCAGTCCTCTCGCCTCGGCCTCCCAAAGTTCTGGAATTACAGATATTAGCCACCACACCTGGCTTATATGTATTCTATAACATCATGTTTGAGACTTCAAATATACACAATCAAATTTATTTTTTTAATCTTACACCTTATTGTTTAAGGGAATAACATTTGTCATAAAAGTTTAATGTATTTTAATAATATGTTGTATATTTAACATATGATGTAATAAACATTTTATATCATTAGAAACATATATTACCTAAATCTTAACATTTACAACATTTCTAGTGTGAATTAGACCTATTTGAGGGGGAAGTCTCTTCCTTTGAAGTCAATGACTCTTAGTATTCTTATAATAGACAGTTGCTCATTATTTTCAATCTGACATTACTCCTTAGGTTAAATTTCCCATAATTACTGTGGGGAGGGATGAATGGGTTACAGTTCTTTAGCTTTGCTGTCAACTTTCTAGGGTAATTAATGTGCTTTAGTTTTACTTGAAAGAGGGTTTAGAAATGCTACTTTATGTTAAGTACCCTTAGGGTTATAGTTTTCTTTCTCACACAGATAGGCACTCCTTCCATACATGCTCAGGTAAAGAGGAAGACAGCATGCCCCATACAGTTTCACAAAATGTCACACTTGCGCACGAATGACAGGGCATAGTGAATACACAGTAACCTTGAGTGAAGAGTATAAGAAAATAAGATGTAATTGAAAATATGGGAAATTTCAAGGGTTTGCCACAAGTTGGTCTTACCATCTGTTTTTTGTTTGTTTGTTTTGATTTGGAATTGCACTCTGTTGCCCAGGCTGGAGTGCAGCGGCACGATCACAGCCACTATAGCCTCAACTTGCTGGGCTTAGGCGTTCCTTCCACCTCAGCCTTCCAAGTAGCTGGAACTACAGGCACTTGCCACCATGTCCAGTTAATTTTTTGATTTATTGTAGAGATGAGGTCTTGCCAAGTTGCCCGGGCTGGTGGGTTCAAACCTGTGGGCTCAGGCAATCCTCTCACCTCAGCCTCCCAAAGTGCTGGGATTAGAGGCATGAGCCACCGTGCCCAGTCTTGTTTTATTTGCTATACTATTTTCTGACCATCTTAAGTCTGACATACTGTTATACTATTTTATTCTTTTCATTTGTAAATATACTATCAGAAAAGAAAAAAATCTATTGCTAAGTCTCTCTTGGAATTATTTTCCTTTATTTGATTCAATTCAACTTGTCAAACATCTATCAAATACAAGTACATTTTGTAAATGTTTTTAAGAACTATCTAAAGAAAGCTTCCATCCAGTAACCTTATCTTGTTTCTCATTTTCAACACACAGGGTGTGCTCTGTGCGGCTCCTCTAATTTTTATCATTCCATCAGCATGTTATCTGAAACTGTCTGAAGAAGCGAGGACACACTCAGATAAGATTATGTCCTGTGTCATGCTTCCCATTGGTGCTGTGGTGATGGTTTTTGGATTTGTTATGGCTATCACAAATTCTCAGGACTGCACCCACGGGCAAGAAATGTTCTATTGTTTTCCTGACAATTCCTCTCTCACAAACATCTCAGATTCTCATTTGCAACTGACAACACAACTTTCCATTTTAAATATCAGTATCTTTCAATGAGTTGATTGCTTTAAAACATATGTATGTTTTCATGGACTTCTAAACCACATAATAACATTTGCACATGTCTTAATCCCTATTTATATTATCAAAATTATTTTAGCATTTATCAAGCCTTGGTTTTCTTATTTCATGTAATATAAAAGATGAAAAGAAAATGGAATGTACTTACAAGATAAATGTATCTGGGATAAATAAGATGTTTTGTTCTAATGACTGCACTACACTAATGGTAACTGAAGAAGAAGTGAAGCCTTGAGCACTTGCTGTCATCCTCTCAAAGCATTACTCTTTTATTTAACTTGTGAATATATACTGTGTTCTCAAATCAGTAGGTGATTGTGGATTGAAAAATTCTGTGTGATTGGGGTGGGAAATTTGTGTTTAAAGTCTGTGGAATTGAAGGGGAGGGATACCCAAAACTATTAAAAAGAATAGATATCCCAGGCCTGGAGTGGTGGCTCACGCCTATAATCCTAGCACTTTGGGAGGCAAAGGTGAGAGGATTGCCTGAGCCCATGGGTTCAAGACCAGCCTGGACAGATTGGCAAGACCTCTACAATAAATCAAAAAATTAGCTAGGTGAGGTGTTGTGTGTCTGTAGTTCCAGCTACTTGAAAGGATGAGGCGGAAGGATCACCTGAGCCCAGGTTGAGGCTGGGGTGGCCATGAGCGTGCCATTGCACTCCAGCCCAGGCAACAGAGTGAGACTACAACTCAAAAAAAAAAAAAAAAGAACAGCTATCCCAAGAGCAAAGAGCAACTCTCTATTATAATTTTAGCAGCATACCTTGTTGAGGGGGATGTTGATTCCTGGAGAAATGAGCAAAGACTTTCCAACATGAAGCAGCATAAATACTAGATTAAATGTGCAGAGCAAGGTATGAGGGTGAAAAACCCAGAATTCATTTATAAAAAGTTGTCCAGGCTCGGTGACTTATGCTTATAATTCCAATACTTTGGGAGGCCGAGATGAGAGGATTGCCTGAGCCCATGGGTTTGAGACCAGACTGGGCAACTTGGTGAGACCTCAGCTCTATGATAAATAAAAAAATTAGCTGGGCATGGTGGTGCCTGCCTGTAGTTCCAGCTCCTTGAAAGGCTGAGACAAAAGGATCCCCTGAGTTCAGAACGTCAGGACTGGGGTGGGGTTGGCTGTGAACATGTCACTGCACTCCAGCCCAGGCAACAGAGTGAGATTCTGACTTTAAAACAAATAAATTGAGCCGGGCTCGGTGGCTCAGCCTCTAATCCCGCGCCTTTGGGAGGCTGAGGTGAGTGGATTGCCTGAGCCCGCGGGTTCGAGACCCGCCTGGGCAACGAGACCTCATCTCTACAATAAATAAAAAAATCAGCCGGGCGTGGTAGCGCATGCCTGTAATTCCGGCTACTTGGAAGGCTGAGGCGGAAGGATCGCCAGAGCCCAGCAGGTCGAGGCTGCGGTGGCCAGAAGCGGCCACTGCACTCCAGTCTGGGCGACAGAGTGAGACTCCAACTCAAAAATAAATAAATAAATAAATAATAAAAAAATAAATTGTGTATTTATTCCTACATGTTTAAACTTCAATCACCTTCATAGTATTCTGTTTGATACAATACACCTATCAAGACACTTTTTCCACAGTTTTTGAACTTGTCAATTTTGATGCCTTTTAGTGCTTCTGCTGCTTTTTGTTTTACTTGTTACACACCACCAAAACATTTCCCTTTGAGAACTTCTTTCATCAGGGGAACCAAAAATATTTGCTCCGGGTGAAATCAGGAGAGTAGGGAAGGTGGGGCACGGCGTTTTTAAGTTTGGGGTCAAAAACTGCAGCTGAACACTCAGCACCAGGTGGGCAGATGCACTCATAAATCACTCATCATGAAATGGGTAAATGAGTTGAAAGAATCTCCAAAAAAAATTCACTAAAGCTGAACACAGCCTCCCACAAGAATCAGGTATAGAGAAGAGGCATTCTCATTCCTCTGGAGGTCCTCAGATTTTGGGGAACCCTTGTTGACTGAGCTCTTTAGAAATAGACTCTGAGGTGGAGTTTGTTATATCTAATGGGCTAGAAAGGGGGAAAGCAGGATTGGGAGAAAGAAGTGGAACTGCAATGCAGACTGACGAAGCAGCCTCAGCCACCCCTCAGGTAAGATGGTACATGCATGCCATGAGTTTTCCCTGTGCAAAGAAGTTAGCTGGGTTTTGATACTGCTGCCTATGTCAGTCACTGAATGTAGGCACTTGGGGATGGATGAGACCTTGAGCTAGGAGCTCTTTGCAGCTGAACAAACCCTAAAAAACCTGATACCTAGGGAGCCCACTTGTCTCCTTGTGGGGTAGTCTGGGAGACACAGTTGTACCTGCCACAGCTGTTCTTGGTCTTTTAGTGAGGATTTCATGTCTTCCTATACCTATGGCAATCTTTAAAAAGTAACATGAAGCCGGGCTCGATGGCTCAGCCTGTAATCCCGCGCCTTTGGGAGGCTGAGGTGAGTGGATTGCCTGAGCCCGCGGGTTCGAGACCCGCCTGGGCAACTTGGCGAGACTTCATCTCTACAATAAATCAAAAAATCAGCCGGGCGTGGTAGCGCATGCCTGTAATTCTGGCTACTTGGAAGGCTGAGGCGGAAGGATCACCAGAGCCCAGCAGGTCGAGGCTGCTGTGGCTGGGAGCGGCCACTGCACTCCAGTCTGGGTGACAGAGTGAGACTCTAACTCAAAATAAATAAATAAATAAAAATAAATAAATTGTAGAGACAAGGTCTTGCCAAGTTGCCCAGAGGACTCAGGTAATCCACTTGCCTCGGCCTCCCAACGTGCTGGGATTACAGGCTGAGCCACTGAGCCCAGCCTTTTTTTTTC